CTGTCTAAATCTACGCCCCTCTGTTAATTTATTTTTTTTTTATTTCTACGCCTTTGTTGCCTGTCTTTCTTAAAGAGTATTATTAAATCACATGTTTTCGTTGTGTGTAACATTATCTAAACTAGATATTGAACCTAATAAAAATTTAATGAAAACTTGGGTCGTTCAAACTTCCTGGAGCAATAATGTGTTTTTTTTTTAAATTCCGATCCAATTAAAATCCATTAGATAAAATATGTTGTATAATTTCAGTGCGGTTCAGTAACTTTATGTACTTAGTGATGAAAGAATATAGAACTTCCACAGATAATTTCACTATAATTGCAGATACAATAGATACAAAATCCATAAGCACGAGCTGTTCAAATACCCTTGAACTAATGTGTTCAGAGCATATTACTAACAAAGTGGATCTAAGGTGGAAATTAGTTCAGTCCAATATAAATGGGAAAGCCTCAGTGAAGGGTATAACGTTATCCCAAGCTATGATAGATATTGTAAGGATGTCCCCGCTGAACTGGGGTAAGAAAACACTCAAACACAAAAAAATATTAGGTTCACAACAAACTGTTTAAAATTTTGGGATCTCCTCAAACGAATAAACGTATCGCATAAAGTATTCTTAAGTGTTAGACCATAGAGTAGAAATGGTTTGAATTTTTGACACACAAATTTTTAATTTTTGTACATAAGTACTTAATTTTTCTTCATAAATATTATCGAAATTTTTCAAATTTTGGTCCTTCGAGCCGGACTCGATCGTGTTATCTTTATATATAAAAATCTTCAAAGCGTCTGTTTTTTACTAAGCTCCTAACCTGTTGACCGATTTTGATGATTTTTTACAAGTCGATTCGAGAATGGATTTAATTTACAATTAGATAATTTTTATTCAAGTTTGAAGTTTTTTTATTGTTGATGTGTGTACAGGATATCTGGTTGGGTCCGCTAATATTACATGTTTTTTGTCTTTTTAGAAGTGAGCATAAACAATCAATGTATAAAGCCCCAAGAGGAATATAGTTGTAACGCTGGCGAATGTTTGTCTCTGGGCGTTTGTATAGGAAACCACCTGTCACGGCCCCTTCACAAACTTTGCTTGTCTGTACAATTCTATCAAGATTATAACAATGGTGTTATGAATTATAAATTGGATAATTCAGTAGCTACTGCTGGGAACAATAAGTAAGTGAAATGACGAAAATACAAGTCCTTTTCTTACCTTCGCTTTTTTTTTAAATCTACTGACTCCGTGGCTTAGTAGTTCACTCATGATGTACGTAGTACGACGTATTCCCCGTTAGGTGATAGGGTTGACAATGCAACATCATAATTTTTTTCTGATTTATAAAAAAAATATTTAAAACTAGTTATGAAGTAGTATGGAAATGCTTTTTTTTTCATTTTCTTTGAAATCAGTGCTGTAAGGTGTTATAAAAACTTATAGGGTTATATTTTGCAATCTGCAAGCCAAGTTTCATGACGATTTTTTTATGTTTTTAAGGTATTATAATAGAAAAAAAATATTGAAATAATATCGTTTTTCGACTATTGATTTGATTTAAATTGATACATTTTTTGACTTCGATTTCAGGACTACCAATTGAAAAGACTTCAACTCTAAGACTTACATATTTCAATATGATTTTATTTACAGAATTGTGTTATCAACGTTAGAGGAAACAGCAAAAGCCTACCACGAGTGTACAGTAGTCTTTCTGACTCCCGGCGAATTTAAAATCGACATACAATGTTCGACGACAGAACCTTTGACAGATGACCCAAATGCCAAAGATATGTCAATTCAGCAATGTGCTGGCGAAATAAGTCACGTCTGGAGATTTATACCACCTGTAGCTATAAGTGTTACAGATTAGTTTAAAGCTAAATGTTATTTATTCGTATTAAAATTGTTTATGATGGAAAGTGTTTATTATTCTTATATTGTTTAACTGAAATGTAAATTATGTATATCGATACATATTAAAATCAGTAGAAACTGCGTGTGTACATTGTATTATATTAAATTAGGGTATATATACCATAGGCTATACCATAGACTTTCAAAAATATAAAAAAACGGCCATGGAACATCCATTTCCTACGTATTTTTAATAATGTACGTATGTCAATCTGATTGTTTGCGTGGTGAGGATGGCTGTACGAAAATGAAAAAAAAAATGTTTTTTCGGGCGCGTCAGATTTTCCAAGGAGGTGTTAAGTGAAAAAAAGCTCTCATCTAATAATTTTGATGTGACGCAATCTCGCGGTCGTTATTAGAATGTGCAAAAAAAATCGCCATTTTGACATACTCAAGCGCGTCGATTAAGATATATTATATGGTTTATCTTTATGTCCTAGACGTGATAATATCTCATAATCTGACAATTATCTGGAGGGATTCGCCTAATCTGATAATTATTATAATTTTTTTACATTATTGAACTAAATTGATAGATTCTCTGAAAATAGCAAAAAGTGTATGTTGTTCAAGTAGAATTTGTATTTACTATATAATAATTTTAAGAAAAACCGTTTACTTCGACGATATTCTAAAATATTTATAAATTTTTCTAATGTTTATAATGTAAATTTTATTGATTATTGCAAAGTAGTTTCAACACAAAATACACACTTTATGGTAATATTTCTCATAGTTAATATTGTTAAACTAATATAGACATCACGCAGCCGCACGTATTAAACTCTATCGACGATTTTTTCTGACATCGGCTTGTGGAAATTGTCAGATTATATATTTTTCGTCATCCTTGAATAATTTCTTTCAAAATAAAAAAAATTGGCCACGTTCGAGAATGTCCAGATGACGTTTTTTTACAACATTGCAGCCCTCCCCAAATACAAACATACACTTCTTACCATATACACAACTTAGTCTACCTTAATCTGATACGCTCGAGAAAGTCTGATCATTAACTTTTTTTACTAATCTGATATTTTAACCTTGATGGGCGGCCATATACACTTCTGGACACATCTATTGGCCCACCTTGCATTTTCAGTTTCTTTTGGTCCTAACTAAAAATTTATATTAGGTCGAGTAAAAAGTTTTTATGCAGTTTTGAACCTGATACATTTTACCATCTTTTTCGATCGTATTGTTTTAAATTTGAATTTAGAATACCACACCACATGGAGATACGCCTAACAAGTCGGGTAGGCGCCTTGATGAAGTCAGTTGATTTTTGAATAAAAAACGTGTTTTATCAAATAAAGGTTTAATTTAATAACGCGTGTTGCCTCCATGGGCATCTACGACAGCTCTCATACGATTAGGCATAGAGTTTATCAACCGCTCTATGAAATTTTGAGGGATCATCTCCCATTCCTCTTCTATGGCAGTTTTCAATTCCTGCATCGTCTGGGCAACTGGCTGACGAGCCCTAACACGTCTTTTTAGCTCGTCCCACATGTGCTCAATGGGGTTCATATCTGGGCTTCTGGCTGGCCAGTCCATAACTGCGATGTTCACATCCCGAAGATATTCTCTGACGATGCCGGCCGTATGGGCTCTTGCATTATCATGCATAAAAAGGAAATTTGGGCCCACATAGTCCGCGTATGGCATCATGGCGTGAGGTTCTAAGCACTCAAGAATGTACCTTTCAGCATTTAATGTTGGCAGCCGTAGTCCCGTAACAAGCTCAAGTTAAGTTTTACCGCCCCAGACAGTCCATGAGCCACCGCCATAAGCAACCCTCTCTTCAAAGCAGCATTGTGCAAAACGCTCTCCCTTACTTCGGTAGACCTTCTTCCTTCCATCATTGCCATGTAATGCAATTTTAGACTCATCAGAAAAGAGTACACCGTTCCAATGCTGCTGAGTCCAATTTCAGTGTGAGCTCGCGAAATGAAGGCGCGCTATTCGGTGGGCTCGCGTTAGTTTTGGGCCATTAGCTGGCTTGTGTGGTACCATATCGCGTTCTTTTAATCTTCTCCGAACAGTTCGAGCGCTCACATTTACTCCATGGAAGTCGCGAAGTTGGTTTTGTATCTCAATGGAGGTAAGGTGACGATTTCTCAAGCTGGTCGTCACGATGAATCGATCCTGCCTTTCAGTTGTGACCCGACATCGTGGCCTTCCTTGGCGACGAACAAAGTCGCCAGTCTTTAGGTATCTCCGATAAACGTTTCGGACCGCAGATCGACTTAAATTAAGTTGATCACTCACATTTCTTTGGCTGTGTCCGGCCCGGATAAGTGCCACAGCTTGGGCGGCGACTTCAGGCGAAGTATCCATAGATTATTGATAGAACCTCATCTTAATGTTAAGAATAAGTAATGTTTGTTGCAAAACCAAAGAGAAAAATCACACTTTCAAGAATTAAATCCAACTAAACCAATTTAATCAAGTTTTTTTAGTATTCGATTGTTTGATATCAATGAGCAGGCTCCAAATTGTCTTTTGTTTCTTTAAATTCTGTGTTCAAAATTTAAAAAAAAAATTGAATGCAATTATGAATGTGCCAGGTTCAAAACTGCATAAAAACTTTTTACTCGACCTAATATAAATTTTTAGGTAGGACCAAAAGAAACTGAAAATGCAAGGTGGGCCAATAGATGTGTCCATAAGTGTATATTATGGAACACATTTGGTAGAGATACTTAACCGGGTGGCGGGTACAAGGTATCTCCCTGTGTATTACACTGGCACACTAGAGTAAATCTCGAACTCCCCTCATGGGCTATAAGGGCAAAACTGTTTGTTATCCACGACCCGATGGTATGGTGACATACCATGACTACGTATTATTATAGGTCAACATTTGTTTTTTTGCTTATAATATATACGTTTATTATGTTCGTTATCTGTTGACAGTTTAATATTTTCTATTTGTCAAAATGTTATGTTACTCTGTAGTCTGTGCTCAGTTTTGTTTACTAAGTTAAATAAGTAAACTGTGGAATTGGTTATCCAGTTACATATTTTCCTGTATATTCGGTTTTAACTTGAATTAAACTTATTTAAATTCATAGATATGACGAATACGCAGTGCGCCGTTCAAAACTGTAAAATATCAGTTTTTAACAAACCTCCCGGGGTTACATTCCATCCGTAAGTTACTAAAAAATTTGGTTGGTTGTAAAGTTAGAAACGTTTATAAATTTAGATACTATCGTTCCAGATGTCCAACTTCTTCCGAAATCCGTAATAGATGGCTAAACGCACTGAAACATAAGTGTATCCAGTTAGATTGGAGTAAAAGCAGAATCTGCTCCAAACATTTTGAAACTAAGTATTTTGATTCCTCACGCAAACTAAGACCAAATGCAGTCCCAACAATATTCTCGTCGAACATAAAACAACCCATTCATAAAGTAAGTAAATTACCATTTAGTAAACACACTAGCAACAAATGCTAATGTGTAATCTAACATTGTACTATACATAGTGCACAGCTGCCTATGTAGATATAAAAAGTGCACTCTCTTGTTAAATAATTGTACTCCAATGGATAATATGTCATATGTATACTTGTAGTACCCACCTAAATAGTATGGGATGATGATGAACTTTTCACATTATTACATACTAATATACTATTTAGGTGTATCTGTAACTTTGACTATTTGATTTGAAATATAGAATTGTTAATGTAGTTTCTATGTTTTAGGTGTTTTCTCCAAAGAGTAGAATTGAAAGGCTGCTTAGCAAAAAGTCTCAGTCTGACATATTGCAAGACATTCAGAGTTCCATGAAAAGGTTGAGGGAGCCATCAAATTTGGATAATATCATTAATGACCAAGTGAAATTTAGAGGTGAAGTTTCCAATGAAGCTCAGTTGTGGCTTATTGTTAAGAAACAAGAACACTTAAATAAAAGATTACAAGCAATTAATGTACAAAATATGAAACAGATTGAACTTTTGCAAAACAGTGTACAGCAGTATAAGAAGAGAAGCACTGACTCTAACTCTGAAACACACAAATATATTGTAAAGTGCTTGCAGGAGAAACTCTCAACTCTTGAGGAACAGATAGAAATCTTAACAGCTATTGAATCAAGATAAACCATATTGCAATAAGTATTACAAAATAAAATGAATAATACTTTAAAAAAAATCTTTATTTTAATTTACTGCTATTTAAGTTTTATTATTAAAACTCCCAACACACACAAAAATAAATAATTGGTCACATGATTGCTAACTCAAACTATAAAATATCAGTCTTAATTTATTTTTTCCTTAATTGCTTTTCTAAAATTTCTCTAAGTTTGCCTTTTTTATTAGTCTTATCTGATAAAGGTCGGCCTAGTGGTATTAACTCCATCTGTTGCAACCTTCGTCTAAATTTTTGGTAAAATTCCAGGACATTAGTGTCCGCCCAGACATGTCGGGAATCAAAATCAAGAACTCTTAATGTATCTAAACTCTGTGCTCTACTCAAGGCAACATAGGCTTGACCAGCTTCAAAAATCTTTGACAACGACATCTCAACACAATCTAAAGTAAGGCCTTGAGATTTATGTATAGAAAATGCCCATGCTAAATTCAATGGTACTTGTTTTCTACAGTATAAAGACCCATTCGAATTTTTTACATACCAACGTTCTGTACGGGCCATGTATTCCTTTTTATTTTTGAATCTTACAACAGGTAACCCCTCATCGAATCTAACTACCACACCCCTCGCACCATTTACTAATCCAGAATTAACATTAATGTTTTTTAATAACATGACTTGAGCACCTATTTTTAAAACTAATTTTGCAGGTGCAATAGTCTGCATATCGAGTAGAGTACTAGCATTGTCACTATCTTGAGCTGAATATATCTTCTCTTCACCATCTAAGTCACGCAATTTGGAATTGTTTATCATTTTTGAATCATTGGTATGAGAACAAAGTCTAGTAGCTAGAATTCCATCACTCTCAATTTTTTGAGTTGCTGTTTTAACAAGGCGTTGACTTATTTCATTTGTTACACGACCTATTCTTATACTATTTAGTATTGTTATAAACTCTTTATCAGTTTGTCTGTGTACTTCTTTTAATTCAAAACATAAGTCTATACATTTTTCCCAACACATAGTTTGAAAACAAAATCTCTTTGCAGTCTTAGTTTTGTCAACTACAGGTGGTAATTGAAGAAAGTCTCCACATAAAATTAATTGGATGCCTCCAAATGGCTTATCATTCTTGCGAATATATCTTGCCACTGCTTCCAGTTTCTAAAATAAAAATTAAAAATCTATTATTCACATATAAACAGTAATTAAACAATCCAGGTCATAAATAAAATGTTAAAATATGATCTATATTAATTCAACACTATACCTCAAAGTAGGTTCCATCTACCATTGAAATTTCATCAATAATAAGATGTTTGCACTTCCTCCATTTCTGTGCTACAAGTGGTAGTTTCAGTGCTTTATGACACAAGCTTTCAAGTGAACCACTGCCATCACCTATTCCAGCAAATGCATGTAGAGTAGTACCACCTTAAAACAGAAAACTTGATACACTTAATTAATTTAATTTACTACATCTTTTTATTTATTAAATTGTCAATATAGCATACAACCAAAATAACAATAAAAAAAATAATCAATGCTTATAATACCTACCTATATGACAAGCTGCCACTCCGGTAGATGCAGTTGGCATAGTTACATCAGGAGGCAATGCAGCAACTATTCTCTTTAATAAATAACTCTTTCCAGTTCCAGCAGATCCCGTAAAAAATATGTTTTTTCCACTAAGGCAAGCCTCCAAGACTCTTAGTTGTTCAGGATTTAAGGTACCTCCAGTAGTTAATGGAGATGGAGAATACAATTTTTTTGGTGCTGGACCTCTACATACATCTTCATTTTTTCGCTTTTTAGATGGTGGAGAAGGAGTTGTTGTGGTTGCTTTACTGATTTTACTTTTGGCACTACATATATCAGCTACTGTGACTGGGCTTATCTCTTCAAATGCTTGTGACCTACCACTTAATAGCTTAGCTCGCACTGTCTGTTTGGACGGTGTGGTATTTAAGGTTTTCTCTCGATCTCCAGTCATTTTTACAAATATAGTTCTTAGAAACGAAACAAGATTTGTTGGGGGTGCATTAGAAATAAAGACAGTACATCCAGATTCTTGAAATTTTATGCTTGCTTTACCCTCAGCCATAAATTTCTTAAAAACATTTATTCCTTTTAAAGCTAACCTAGTCGCAGCATTCTTATCACCGCTTACTTCCATAAACATTTCCCTAAATTCGTTCCTTATTATTCGCAAAGATGCTGACTTTAGTGTTATTTTTCTCATAATAGAGCCTTGAGGCGTCATCCATTCAACAGTTGCCGCACATGATAAAAAGGTCTCACCAGACTCCATGGCTTTTATAAACTGTTACTTAATTAGCCGAAAAATAGAAATAATATTTTTACTCGTTCATTTCTGTTACAAATTAAGAAAATTCGGAGCTTTAAAATGTAAATAGTAATTACCGAATACCGCGCCGAAAGCAGCGACCGATCCAGAATGACATTGACAAATAGATCCACAAACTACAAAGTACAAACTACAACAGATTGATTATATACCATAGAACACATTTTTTCGGTGTTGGGATTTGACGACCCCATCGCCTTTTAAAACTTTGCCTTGGCATTTGACTAGACAAAAAAGGTCCCTGCAATTATTACGCGAATACCAGATGTGGATGGTATGTGGTGGATGGAGGTGGATGGCGAAATTGTTCTGCATGGAACTCTTTATTCAATTTTCTGCGGTGCCGAGTCACAGCCCTGGTTTAAACATTCTTGCAAGGCGGAAAGCGAGAATACTTTTAAGCGTGGGCGGAAGCGGTGACAAACATAAAGAAGCATGTAACTCTGCCTCCAGGTTGCTAGGGAAAAGACCATCCAATACGGTCCGTCGTTCCACAACTGAGCCTTTCTTAAGGCAATTTTTGCCGCGCACCACCACTATGTAGAACCAGCTGCCCACTGAAGTATTTCCGAACCAATTCGACTTAGGGTCCTTCAAAAAAAGAGCGTACCAATTCTTAAAAGGCCGACAGCGCACATGCGAGCCTACTGGCAGTATGAGTGTCCATGGGCGACAGTATCACTTAAAATCAGATGAGCCTCCTGCCCATTTGCCTCCTATTACATAAAAAAAGCTCTGGGATACTCTTTACATGATCAGTACGGGTACAAACTGGTGTTTTAAGTTGAAACTCGTGGTAGTCTCGGTCTAGGGTCGACTATAACTAGCCCAATTTAACCCCAAAATGACCATGTTTTCCGCTCAAAAACACTGAACGATGTTCAGTTTTGCGGTCGTTTGAATGGAAAGGCTGATTTGGCCATCAAGATTGTCCATGAGCGGTTTCTTCCAGCTGAGTTCGGAATCCTCCAGCTGAGTTTTATCATCGAACGTTGAATATGAAATTCCACCTCGACGTCCTTCGTTCCACGACTGAGCTTTACCAATACGACTTAGGGTCCTCCAGAAAAGAGCATTCCAATTGTGACCCAGTGACGCCAGTTACGCTCTAGCCAGCCCTCTAGCATTGTGAGTATCCATGTTATACTGTTCATACATGTTACAATACAAACAATAAGTTGGTTTTGCTTTTGTTAAATTCCTCTTCATCATTCCCGAAGTTTGATTATTTAAGTACTCTATTGGCTAGCCACTACTTTATCCCTGAATATCTACTTTGGAAGGGCCAGTATAAAAAAGGAAATGCCAACGAGTTCAATATTTAATAAAATGTTTTTATGCTAGTAACCATCATATTATAGCTAATCTTCATAGAAAGTTATGGTTTTAGAAAATATAACTTTTATACTCAACTTGATACCAAAAGTAAAACAATAAATTTAACATCACATCTATTAGAAAAATTCTGATTAATCTACTACTGTAAACAGAATTTTAAGTTAGTCTTCTAACTGGAATACACTTAACTAGAAACCACTTACCACCAACCTCGTTCCGATTGGAACTAAGAAACTTCTTTACCTTAATAAGAATAACTCTAATACTGACATCCTGGAGCTTATCAGAATGCCCTTATTACAGGATCTACCTAATAAGGACAATACAAAATATACAGTCATTGTGGATGTAGGTATTTCTTAAAAGAAAGGAAAAGTAATATTTTTCGTCACCAAAACATTATATTATCCAACTATATGTACACACTACTACATGATGCAAAAGTGTAGGTATGAAGTTCGCGCACAACCACAGAAGAAAAGGCTTGAAACCGCCATAAGACTATATCTTGATCTGGGGGTCTACCATGAGCTCTTGTTGCGAGCCTATTGACAACCTACAACTGAGATGCATACATACCATGACGTCAAATGAAGCAGCCAGTTTATGTTATCATGTGACGTTTCGATAAATAAAACGACATTAATTGTTTTAAAAAAGTTTAATCTATTTAAATATATTATAATATGTATGAATGTTCTGTACAAAACTATGCTGCGACCAGTGCTCACTTATCGTTCTGAAACCTAGCCCCTTAGCAAGAAAGACGAGATCTCTCTCTTTATTTCCGAGCGGAAGAATCTTTGATCCTGTTTGCGACGACGGTGATTGGCGTATTCGCTACAATGAAGAACTTTATAAAATCCTAGGGGACGCCAACATCGTCCAATTCATAAAATGCAATAGGCTCAAGTAGCTGGGACATGTGCACCGAATGGCGAACGACAGAACCCCAAGGTCCTTACTAAACTCACAACCCGGTGGCAAGAGAAAACCCGGTAGACCGAGTCTGCGTTGGTGGGATGGTGTTGTCAAGGACCTCGAAACAATAGGGGTTCGCAATTGGACGCGGGAAGCACTGGATAGATTGCGATGGCGAAGTGTGATTGAGGAGGCTAAGGCCCACAAGGGGCTGTATAACCATTTTAACTATGCAATACATAAACATTTTTTCGTAAGCAAGCTTCCGTGATATGAAGTTGACAAAAATTAGTACCTACCTAGTAGGTACATGACATACAAAATAATAGTATGTTTAAGTTTTAATTTGCTTCATGTCCGGAGACAAGCTGTCACTTGGCGGACAGCTAATAACTCATCGGTGGCCGTAAAAGCATCTAAAGATAAACATACTGTCAGTAAATAGAAATACGCCATTATCCATATAACTGCGTAAAACATTTTACGATAAAATATAATAGGTACTGAAATAAAATTTTAGCTTCACAATGAAAGAGGTTATTTATTACCGTGAAGCGTATATAAATCATTGGTAGCCTTTTTAAACTTTTGAAATATTCGGTATAACAGTAATATATCTCTATTTAATAATACTAATATTAGTATAAAAATAGTTATATTCCATTTTCTCGTAAGAAAATAAAAAATGATTGTCCTGATCTTTGTTAAAAACGTGTTGTGAGCCTACTTGAACTTCCGTAAATTTTTAGTAATTATACTTTCCCTATTAAAGTTTTTAGTTTTTTTGGTATGGATAAATCCGTGAAGACCAGTGGTTATATAGTTAGTAGTTATACAGCAAACCTAAATAAGGTATCATGGATTCAATATCAAGCATTTTGTCTTAAAATCCTGGAAAATAAGGCGAATCCTGACCACCATCCAATTCTCTGTAATACTGTTAAAAATAGGTATACTTACCTAAGTAGTAAGTACCTACCTTAGCCGGGAAAGACCTGTTATAGGTTATTATAATAAATGTAACTTATTTTTATAATGTAGAATATATAATGGTTACCCAAGCTAGACTACCTTTAGTGCACGCATATTTCTAATCTAATCATATTCTAATCTAAATAATAATTCAGGGTTCGTGTCATTCAGGTCATTACCGTTAACAATAACTATTTTATATTAGAATGCACCGAGCTGATGATCTAATGACTTACTTTTGTAAAAAATATATATAAGAAACTATATTATATATCTCTCTAATAAAACTAGAAACAATGCTAGACAGTTTCTACAATGAAGTATTGTTTTCGGTGGTTCAAATGATGATACTAATTATTGTGGATGACCATTTCAAACTAATTGTATCAAAATAAATATTTTCCTTTAATAATGTGTGTGAACTTGACTTTGCCCGGAACACTTTTAAAACATCCATTCTCCTAGGCTTACTGTAGCTACCACGTTAATACGCGTGAATTATTTATTAAATAAGTGTATTTTTTCATTTCAAATTAGGATTTTTCCATAACAACATCGCCATAGAGTAATAATTATCTAAACTGAACTGAGGAAAAGATGTATGATAAAATATTTTTTCAGTTCCAAATACCTTCTAATTTGTATTGGTATACGTCAATTATACGTACGACGTATGACGGACACGTACACTACCTATTAATACTTCCGATAATTATCCATACAAATAATAAGTAGTGCAGGATTTTAACACAGAAATATTAAAATGAACCGCAAAATACAAGGGGCCATAAATTTTACAGCTTTCGTGAAAGGCAGCTGCCGGCGGCGTCATCCTTTAATAATTTACAAAAACAAAAGTAACTGCATTATCATCATTTGCGTCTTTGTATAACAACTCTTTGCTTTCGGCAAAAGCTCAACATAGTTTATTGTTGTGGTTAGTTAGTTCTGGGTAAGTTGGCACGAATCGTTACATGCGCAATTAGGTTTTAGGTCGAATACCTACTACTAACGCTCCCACGACATATGCCAAGCTACTAGTGTGATTCTTGTTTCTCAAAAACGTATTGGATTATGACATACAAGGATCATTGTTCTCGCTAAGGGTAATATTCAGAAAGGATTTAGACTTGACATATGTGAGTGTACTAAGTCTGGTTTCTGAATTATTCAAATGCTTGTATTAATAATCCTCAATACTTGAACATGCTGAATTTGCCCTCGGCAGTGGAGTCGTTGGATGGGAAGTTGTTTTTCAACTTAAAGTACATGCCCCAACTTTACGCCGCGTACTTTTGCCAATTTAACGTAACATTTTGTCTGATTCACTGAAATATCTCCGCGTTGTCTTGATTACACGAGAGAGCCGTGAAGTTTAATTACAATTAGGTTGCGATAATCTATTTATTTTTATATGAAAGTAGGTACACCACATAAAATATATGAAAATTATGGTAAATTTAAATGTAACTAATAAATAAAATAATGACACTTCCAATTTTAGATTTCAAAACTTACGAAAAGCAAAAAAAATGACTAGTATAACAGCAGATTAGGCACTTAACAATGTTTTTTTTTTAATTTATCAGCCCACTACCGAATATGTCAAGCTCTGGATAAATAGTGTTTATTCCGTTATATTCGCGAAGAATTCGAATAATTAATCCCGAAAGGTATGTCAGTAATCTGTGGTATAATAATTACCTTGTTGC